TTGTAGCATTATGACAGAAATTCTAGCAATACTATTGTTCTCTGATTAGAATGACATTGGACTGGTTTCTTGAGTTCAATTTCAGCATATGTAGAGATGGGGACAGCTATCACAAAGAGAATGAGACATGCGATGATAGTTACTATTGTCTTCCCTAATTTGGAACTTGAGGACCTAAAAAGCCTCCAATGATTTGATTAGTTCTATAATATACAATAAGTATATAAGGTGGGTGAAGATAGGGACAATTATTTGTAAGAAACTAGAGACAATTAGATAGACAATGAAGATCTCCAGTGGGCTTGCTGCGAAATCTGTATTTCTTTAAATTGTTTTTTTAACTGCTTTGTTCTGTTTTGATATGTTTAATCTTACCCTCTTTGAGATGTAAAACAAATGTGTAGGACTGATAACCATATTACTGAGCTCTTGTTCGATCATAGAGCAGAAGGGTTTGTAGTGTCACTTTATAAATGTCATTCTAAATACTTTAATTCTATAACATGAACAGCTATTTCTAAGATGACAATGTGTAACTTATCAAGCAGCAATTTCTTACTGTTCGTTTTTCTGTAAGTTTATATTATTTCTACCCTTTTTTATCTCCATGTATTCCTTTGTTTCCTTTTCTTTAAATAAAATAAAATTAAAAAAAAGAATGATTCATGGTTGCTTTTACATATGCGTGCAAATAACTCATTGGAGTAAAAGCCTTAAAGAGTAATGTTAACATTCAACTTTCAATACTTCTATTACCTGCCATAGTAATTTATGTGAATTATCATATAAATATGTATTGTGAGGCCAACTGGACAAAGAAAAAGAATACACAGAAGGATAGAAATGCTGACTAGCATCTTTGTTTTTGTCCAACATTGACTGTGCCAAAAAGAGTATATAATCTCAAGGAAAAACAGAGCTAAATGAATGTCAGCTTTATTAATAATTTATTCATTATTTTGAGACAGGATTTAACTATGTAGTTCAGCCTGGCCTTGAACTCACTATGTAGCCCAGGCTGGCCTCCAAATTTGGGGAAGCCACCTGCCTCAGCCTCCTGAGAGCTGGGATTATAGACCTGGACTGCCACACCCAGATCACTAATAATTTATCTGATGTTTATGCCTTAAGATAATTTGCTCAATAAATTTTCTAAGGTCATCTTACAAACTGAAATGCTGGCCATACTCCTGCATGGTTCTCTTCCCAGCCCCTCATCCACTGTGAGTCTTTCCAGCTCTCATGAAGGTGTTTTCTCCAATAAGATTCTTTTGACTCCAAACAATATTATACCATGATGCGCTACTAAACTGTCTCTAAAGCACAGGGCTTTGATGTCCAGCACTGTCAGTTTATATGTCATAAATCTCCACTGGTCCACTTTGGGGGGCAGCTTGTATAACACTCCGTCGCTCTCATTCCTCTGACACACCATTCCCAGAGCTGCTCTGGAGTGCCAGCTTTCCCTGCAAGTGTCAGCTAAATGTGCGATGCTCACTACAAGCCCTCAGGACCCTTAGGCACAGTGCTTGTTTTTTCACAGCTTGTCCTCTGTCCCATGCTCACCCTAGTGACATCCATAGTGATCTCCTACAACTTGAGCCCCCCAAGAGCATGGAAGCCTGGTCCAAACGCAAGCTACAACCTCCAGCTTGACCACAGGTTTCCCCCTGCAGTTTTGCAAAAGCTTCCACAGTCCTTGCTTTGCAGTTGCACTTTCCTGTGTTCTCAGGCAGCTGCCTGGAAGTGGGGAAAGAGGCATCTTCTTGAGTGGGCTCCAGTGTAAGGCTGGCTCTTTTCTCCTTGGCTCACAGCATGTCTCCTCACATACGTCGTAACAGAGCTGGTCCTGTGGTGTCCTGTGGAGGATGCTCTGTCCTCTCCCTCTGGGGACATGCCCCTCCTGTCCTCCTAGCAAATGCACAGCCCTCCCTTGCAACTTGTCCCTTTCCTACTGACCTATAAATATGTTTGATTTGCCATATTCAATAATGAAAATTTCATACCCAGTTACAGAGCAAAAGCAGATTCCCTTTCCATGGCAAAACCTTTCTTTTACTCAATCTTGCTTTCTCCTTTCTCATTCAAGTTCCCTCAGAGAGTAGGCTATTCTTTAGCCCAATTTCACATTTTACAGATTATTCTTATAAAATTAGTACTTTTTTTGGCTTTTTGAGACAAGGTCTTGCTATGTAGTTCAGGCTGGCCTTGAACTCTCTATATGGCCCTGGCTGGCCTCAAAGTTGCAGTGATTCTCCTGCCTCAGCTTCTCAAGTACTGGGTTCAAGTACTACCATGCCTGGATAGTACAAATTTAATATTGAAAATTTTTATTATAAGGTCAAATATTAAAATGTACTGGTAAAATATAAGCTTTAATCAATTCTAGCAGTGGCTGCATCACTTCATCTTACCATGTTTCCTTCCAGTATTTCTTCCTAAATCTATGTGTGGATACATGCACATATGTGTATTTGTGTGTGTGTGTGTACAGCTGTGTATATGTATGTTTGTAAGTGTGTCTTCGAGCTGGAGTGAGATTCTAGAATTGTGCTGCTTTTCCATTCATCATATAATAGGCATTGCTCAGTTTTATGAACTCTCCTTTACAACTCTGGCTTTAGAACAGTTGTATTCTATTTTACTGAACAAAAGAACCTTAGTTTTATTCATTCACAAAAATTGAGGTTCTACTCAGTGCTGCACTGGGCAGTGAAGGCCCTAGTGGGACCCTTTCTATTCTCATACTATCTGAACTCTGTCCTGACAGTTGGCCTATGCTATTCCTTTCCCAACATAGTGACTAGTTTTTCTTGAGCTTTTTTTTTGAGAATCATCTTAGGGGAAGAAGCTTTCTCCACTGGTACACATGTACTGCAGTCATGACACATCTGGTCCAGACCTCTAGAAGGACATGGAAGGGACTGTACCGCTGTCTCGGGCTGAGGAATGGCATCAGTTTCAGCAGTCAGGTAATAACTTGGGGCTCTAAGGTAGAGGAGGCAGGTGTTACACTCAGTGGTTCAGCAATCATCGTTATCAGTGATAGTTAAGAGACAATGCAAACTGTTGTTGACCCAATGCTACAAGGAATTGTTTGATTTATGTAGTGAATTTATGACAATTGTATTGCCACTGAAACTTGAAATGCACTGAAATCAATCTGCTCTCTCCTCTCTCAATCAGTGTGAAATAAAGGAACATGCTATCACATTTTCCCCAGTAACTTTGATGGTGAATTAATCAGGTAGCCACGACTTCTTTCTCAGATGTGGAAAGGGCCCAGAATCCCCATGATGGCTTGTTCTCTGCAGAATGTTGGAACCAAAACAGTCTCCTTACATAGAATGCTGTGCATTATAAGCAGACTTGCAAGACAAGGTTCCTAAAATCAAACTCTTCTCTGGCCTGGTCTTTGGTCCTAATGGTATTTTGCTGAGCCATACGCTGGTCACACCAGAAGGGCTCTGTCTCAAAGACTCACTGGCTGGGGCTGGCAGGCTGAAAGCAGGGCAAGAGGAACATACTCTCACACTTTGTATAATGTCAGGACTTTGAACCTTCGCAAACCGGTTTCCTGAGTTTTAATCTCCTTTGATCTTTATCTTAAGTTTGAGAAACTGTAGAGTGAGAGTTATGATCTTCAGGAAACAGATGAGAAACAGTTTAAATGACTGAACTGAGTCACTAAGTTACAACAGAAACACAAACCCCTGACATGCCTCAGAGTTGCTCTGGGAGGTTTTCTCTGATTGGTTATTGAGCAGTGATGACTTTTTCTTTAGTTCCTGTTCAGCTCACACAAATTCTGTCTCTTAGATGAGGAGGAGTAAACACCCAGCACATTTTTCCCTAACTAGGCTTCATCTTTCCCTTGGTGTGCTCATCCATTACATGACACACACTCCACAGTGAGTAATAAGATCTACCCAGGGAACCAATGTGGAGGCACAGCAGTGTCCTGGAAGCCATGTTGCTACAAGAGATCTTACTTTCCTCCATGAAATGGGGAGCAGGGAGAGATGGACAGACAGACAAACAGACAGCCAGAAACATAAAACTTATAGAGATACTAACAACACTGCTGCCTATCATGCTGCCATAGAAGAAGGCTGGCAGTCACCCCAGGTGCCTCTGTCCTTTCCTGCCTTGTCCCCAATGACACAGAAATGCTGGGCTGCTGAATCTATGGCCTGAAAATCTCTGCAATCGGCACTTCTCCATCCCCACTGCTACTTTAGTTTCTTACTGTTTCATTGGTATCACTCTTTATTTGTGTCCTATTAACAAAGTTTTCGATTTCAGTTTTTATTGCACCTTGCAATTTTTGTTGCAGAATGAGTTTCAGCAATGGGTGCAAGCGATAACCTTTCAAGACTCCTTGGGAGTAAATGTGTTCTCGATGTCTTTGATCTTTCAGGTAGGCAGCTTTAGTTAGGTACAGGCAATTGTCTTAGGCTTCTTCTGTACCAGCTGGGCTGTTATCCTTCAGGACCACAGGAAACCAGTACCATTATCAATGGGAAGGCAAATGGCGCCAAAGGCGCAGCCAGGCTCATAGTTACCAGGGCACTGAATCTGAAATGATGGATCTCTGCTCATCTACATGAAGAATTTATCATAAATCCCAATATTCTCTTAGGAAACAATGTTTCCACCACCAGAAAAGGTCACTCTAGATATGGAGATTAAACCTAATGAAGATTTCTGCTGATTATCAAAGTTATTTTGCTAAGAGTATTTCAAATGCACTTTGATGTGCAGTTCTTTTTTAAGAGATGTTGCCTGAGATGTGTCTCCTCCAAGGTAATCTGGAGTCCAAAGCTCCTTGAAAATATAAGTCCCATAAGTGACTAGGAAGCGTAAAGTTAAAAATAATTATACGAGTGCAGGCTATATAGCTCGAGAAGCAGAGATTCTGCCTAGCATATATGAAGCATTGCTATCATTCACTAACACCAGAAAACAAAGACAATAAAAAAAATGAAGTTTATACTTACACCAAAGTTGGTGGCGGCAAATCGATCAGAGGCGGAAACCTGCACATTTGTAGACACTGTTGTGTGTGCGTAGAAGGCATTTATGTTGGCCAGCAAGGTGCTCATGACGGCGGGCACGCCAGCACACATGTACTTGGAGGACAGGCATGAAAAGTGCCTGCAAGACAGAAAGCATCAAGTGCTTTTAGGACAGAAAGTGAGCAACTCAGCTGTTAGCACATCTCTCACATCACAGGATAGTCATCCTCACCTGTGTCCAGGAAAAGGAGAGGAAATGCCCACAATCTCTGGTTAAGGAAGAAAACAGTTTCCACCTTGTGAACATTTTTCATTTACAAGTGAGACCAGCTTGAGTGACTTGCTTGTGTTGTGTGGGAATCATTTGCACTGTGAGGGGTGAGGTTTCAGGCTCACAAGGAGGGAGCAACTTCCAGGGATCTGGAACACTGTGGGAGGGGATATGGCCCGAGAACCCCCCTGTCCCTCGCTCATTCAGTTCCCAAGCTGCTAGGTTGCAGAAAAAGTGGCCTGTGTGCTTGTATTCTGCTCTGGCTGAAGTAGTGAGGGGCCCACCCATCACATATATTGAATTTGCAACTTCCCCTCTGACTGGAGCTGGGTTTAAGAGTTCTTCTCAGACAGGAATTGGTTGTTCAAGCAGCTCTGTCCCTGGAGCACTTTACTACACACTGGATTTAATTAGACAATCAGAGGAATAGTGAGGAGAGGCTCCATTATGCTGTAAGACCATTTCTTTTAAACCTCGAAGAATGCTATCATCTATAATCATCACAAGCATCCACCTGTTCCATTCCTTCACTTTCAAGTAAACTCATTTCATTTGTACAATGATAAAAGATTTGGAAATTGAAAGCAAGGCTTAAGATAAGAGCAGAAGATAAAACATACAACAAGTAAGCTACAATATTCCTTGTGTATGACTCAATATTTGAAATATAAATACATTGAAAATGAAAACACTTTAAGAAATTATAACTTTGGGACCCCAGAGAAATATATCAGAACCAAAATGAGAGGTTTTACAAATAATTTACTTGTTACACATGGAAATTGATGGATAATATAGGGAAATACGTATGGATAAATACAATGTTGAATTACTTGGTTTAATACAATCTTGGCTACATACTGTCATTAATGCTACTATTAATAGCCATAGAAAACTTTGAAAACCAATGAAATTAAAATTCCACAAGCTTCAAATTTTTCTTTTAAAAATAACTTCAATTTAGAGCTCAATAGTGGTTATAATAGTTATTTAGACTAGAATTGATTCTAAGTATTTACAATGATTTAACTCTTGATCCATTTTTTAAAATATTAAAGCCATCTGGCCAGTGTAATCTCCCATTACTCACTGTGTATTAACTATGATTTTTGGTACTTTTTTTTGCAGTACCACCACAAAAAAAAAGAGGAAAAAAGCTCCCCAAATGAGTCCAGTGTCTCCAGAAGTTGGCTCAACAAATGTTTATGAAAAGTGTCTAAGTGGCCAATACTGTGTTAGGCTTTGGGTCCAGAGAATCTACTAACACACTAGTGGGGGAATCAGTTATGCAATATTTTTAATACAATTCTTCTTATAAGAAAGTTCTTTCTATAAGAAAGTTATAGAAAAGGAACAGCGGAGTGCAAGGAAGGTGCCGAGTATTGTATGCCACAGCCTGGGGAGTGAGTTGTGAAGATCTGGGAGCAAAACAAGGACAGATTATATACCAGAAAGTCCTTTCCTTGTTGGTGGCAGATCAGGAGAGCCAGGCCAAGCACAGGGCTAGGTGTTCTGATAAAGTGCACCACCCAGACAAATGGGATCCATAAAACAAGATACAGTGGGGATGGGTACGTGTGTGCAGTGAAATTTATCCACTTCAGGCTGGTGGAAATCAGCTAAGAGAACATTTTGGGCCTGGCAGGAGACATAAGGTTGGACGTGTGAGGAGGAGTGAGCTGGGCCTTTTAGAGGTCAAAATACACAAAACTCAAAGCTTTGCAGACTAAACATAAGCAAAATATTAGCTCCAAAAACTCCAGTCCTTCTCCATGGAGTAGTAAGCAACATAACAGAGGTGATTTTAAATAGACTGCTTGGGGTGAGAGGAGATTTTAGAAGATGTGTTTCAGAAAGGTGAGAGAAGGGTTGGTTAGGTACTGGGAGGACAAGATGATGACTTCTGAGTTGGGCAGGAGTGGATCTGAGAAATCTGAAGGAGAAACGGTCAGAACCTGGAGCTGCTGGAGGTTGGTGAGGGTAGGGGTGAGTGGGTGGGTTGTGAATAAATCCAGGTTGCTGGTATGGGCGACTTTGTCAACAGGGTGAAGACCCAAAGGGGAGGGAACCTGAGGTGGAGTAGTGTGTCAGGTCTGAGCTGTGGGACTTGAAGGATTGAAACAGATGCTGTTGTCTGGTGAAGACCTAGACTGGACACTTGGCATTGGGATCATCTGTGTGAATCGTGGGAGAGAAAGATCATGCAGGAGATCTGCAGAATGGAAGAAGTGCTGGTGATGGAACCAGGGAGTTGGTAATGAAAAGGCACTGGAGGAAAAGAAATAAATTCCATGGCTGAGGCCATGTTAAAAAGAAAAGCAAAAGGAAGGAAACTGGAATGCAACGAACTGAGAGGCTTTGAAGGGGGAAGGATGACAGATCACAAATCAAGGATTTTATAAAACAGGAGCAGAACAGAAATTACTGGACTTGACAAATGAAAATCATGATGTCCTCAGCAGTCCCAAGTTCAAGGAGGGGCAGGAGTTTACACCAACAGAAAGTCAGAACAGAAGTAGAGAAAGAACTTGGTGACACAGGTCAAGACCAGCTGTGTTGGTTCCTGCTCAGAGCTTTGACTTTCTTGAATGGTCTGTGTGAGGTCACCAGAGATTTCTGCAGAGGAAACTGGTGTCAGCTGACAAGTCCTGCAAAGTGGACTGAAATGAGTAGGTTTGGGGAGAGGCAAAAAACTACTTAGTGGAGCAAGGAAACTTGGAAGTTCTGCCTGGCTTCTTCACACACCACAGGCAGAAGGAAACCCTACATCAGGTGGAAAATAATCCAATAACCCTGGAATGACCCCATCAGCTTCTGACCTCCAAAACAAGAGATGAGTATTTCTATAAATCATGATCTTCCTCACAAACCCATCTGAGACCTGACCCTGGACATGTTGTAACTGAAGATTCCCATGATCTCCAAATACAAAAAGCCAGCGTGAGAGTTGCATTCCACACAACACACGTGACTGAGTTACCTCCCGAATTCTACATTTTTTCCTTAAATGCCTGGGTTTGCTCATTTGGTTTGTCTTGCTCATGCTTTTTAGGCCTGACAACCTTCCTTACATTTACTATAATTCTCCACTTTTTTCTCCTGAGATCACAGAGAAGTAAGGTGTTCAGAATGAGATTCAGATAAAGTGAGCTCCCAGCCATCCGTCCCAACCACTAGAGATGCTTCTCAATTTTCCTTACAGGTGCCAGGGATATTCTCATGCATGCAGTGTTTCAATCAGGTCGAGTTTATCCATCTTCTTAAGCATTTATCATTTTTTATAACAAAAACTCTCAAAATTCTTTCTTCTAGGTTTTCAAATTACTGTACAGTTCTCATGATTGTAAGGACATCCCACTGAGCAGCAACAACAGCACTCAGGACCCTTTCTCCTCTCAACTGTGATTAGTGCCACCCAATCAGTTTCTCTTCACCCAGACTCTTCCCATTGGTGACTACTATTCTACTCAAACTGACATGAAATCAGCATTTTTAGATTCCACATACAAATGATGTCACATGGTACTTGATTTTCTGTGTCTGATTTATTTCACTTAATGTACAGATTTCCCATTCCACTTACATTTTCACAAAAAATAGAATCTTATTGTTTCCATAGCCGTATAATATTCCATGGTATCTAGGTACCCTATTTCCCTCATTCATCTGTTTTTGGATACGTGGTTCATTTCCATCTCTTGCAGTTTCTGAGAAGCATCCATTGCAGCCCATGAGAGCAGCTGCAATAAACACAGGAGCGCAGATGTCCCACTGACACATTGATTTTATTTCCTTTAAATGTTTATCTAGGATTAGGACTGCTGGGTCATACAGTTCACTTAATTCTGAGGAGCCTCCATTTTGTTTTCTACCATGGCTACACTACCCTGGCATCCCTTTTCTCACTCACAAATTAGAACCACATATCTATAGTACTTTTGAAAAAATATGTATCCCTGTACTAGTCACACACTTTGGAACATCTAATTCAAGATGATATGCTCACAATGCTTGTTCTTAGCCATTTTCCAGACTATGATGAGTCGTCACTGACCACAGCCACCATGTCATCCACAGGTCTCCTGCACCTGTTGCTCACTCCATCCTGGGACCAGGGTGACCAAGTCCTCCTGCTCCTGGACCTGGTGACCCTGTTCTGCTCTGTGCTTCCATGGGTCCCATACTTTAGTCTCTTCTGGGATATGTTGGTTTGTGATTTGTTGTCTTCTTTTCCATCCATTCACCATATTGGAAATGGTCAGTAACTTCCTTTTAAAGAAAAAAGCAACCTGAGGCGCAGCCATTCTGGTGAGTTAAAGGATGCGGATTCCGCCTGCGGGCAGGGCCGTTGAGTAAAGCGCCCAATTACCTGCAGACAGTCCAGGGGCGCAGTAGGCTGTAAAGCGGCATGCTGGTTGCCTGGGAAGGGTAACAGAAATCCTCCCCAGCGTCGGGCTGTGCTCCGAGGAGACCTAACAGAAGCGGCTGATTTCCCATTGCCATCCCCGAGGTGATTCCTGGTGCGGGCGGTCCGGTCTGCGCTACAGTCGCCCCTCTGAGCTCAGGGAACTAGGAGGGCGCGAAATCATGATCGCGCGGTAAGAAGGAGTCCAGTCAGGGGTCCCCTGGCGTCCCAGAGGAGTTGCTCCTCGCAGTGCAGCAGACGACCGGAGTGCCACGTCCGCAGGCTGGCCTGGCTGCGGTCTGAACCACCGGAGATGGATGCCTTGCGAACTCCGCAGTGCCTCTCCCCTCCGCAGGCGGGCGGCCGGCTGGTCCCCGGGAGAGCGGCGTCACTGTCCCTTCTCGGAGGGCACGCGGCCCCGGCGGCCCCGGAGGGCTCAGGCGGGAGGCACCGCAGCAGCCCG